TGTGCAGACACCACGGGACCGCACGCAGCGCCCGCAGCCCCGCAGCCAGGACGCACCCAGTACTGCAGCGGGGAGAGACGGAGGGGGTGGCTGCTCGTCACCCCCTCAAGGGCACCTCTGGGTCCTGGGCTCCGTCCTGGCACGGACGGGGTTGCGAGGAGGGACGAGGGCTCAGAAGCCCGCCCAGCGCTGACCGTGTGGCTCCTGTGCCCCAGCCGGATCCCGGAGGGACCTTGGGCTGAGCCTGAGCCTGAGCCTGGCCAGCACTGGGCTGCGCCGGCAGAGCTGGCACCGCTGCCCCTCCCCACAACAGAACCCCGCCCACAGCAGACCCCTCCTCACAACAGACCCCTCCTCACAACAGACCCCCTCCACAACAGATTCCCCCCCTACCTCCAGCAGATCCCCCCCACAGCAGCGAGTTCCCGTCACCTGCACCCAGCAGCAAGTGCCCAGGAGCTCCAGCCCAGGCAGGTCCTGGTTCTGTCCCCAGCATCACCCCAAGCACCTGCAGAGCTCGGTTCCAGCACCCAACTCGGTCCATCCCCAGAGCCCCTGTCCCATCCCCTCCGGCCAGACCCCCCCAGACCCTCACCGCAGGGCTGGAGGCCCAGCATTGCACCCCAGCAGATGCTGCTGCACGTCGCAAGAATGAAACACTCAGCAGAGCACTGGACCAGAGTAATTTTCATTTGTTTTAACCAGAGAGAGGCACTACGCAGGACTTGCTTCTACAGCACAGGAACAGGATTTTCTCCTCACCTTCCTCCTGCAACAGACTCAAATTCAGCAAGAACAGAGATCATGTAGGCTGCCGGCTGCCATCAAGCCAGGCACGAAGATTATGCTTCCCCTTTAAGGAGCACTATTTTAAAAGCAGTAAGTGAAGTCATTGCAGAACCGGAAATGGAGAAAAATTCACTAAAACCTGAAAATCTGAGACAGCACAGTCAGCCTGCTGCCTCTGACTGTCTCCTAGCACCGTCCTGTGGCATTAAAGCCTGCTCATATTTTGGAAACCGTCATAGGTGAACGGGGGGAAGTTTGGCAGACACGAGGCAGTTTTGGGCAGGCACGCGATAGGGTTGATTTCGCACGCTGTGACATCCTGCTCGCTGGTGAAAAACACGCCATCATGTGAGTATATGGAGGGGTCCAGGTCGTAGTAGTTATAGGGTCTCAGGAGAAAGCCGACCGAGTTTCCCACGGTCACGGTGTTGGGAATGTCCTCGGAGTGCGGGATGTGAAGAAAACCGGCCGTGATCCATGCGACCAGGTCCTGGGCAGGGAAGAACCACAAGAGCGTGGTTATTTCAGAAGCCCACAATGGCATCAACCAAAATCTGCACAGGAGCCATGGGAAGTCGCAGGAGGGGACCTGCACAGGCGCCAGCCCGGCCGCACTCCCCCCTCCTGGGACAGATCCCCCCCTCACCCTGGCCTTGCAGGGATTTTTCTGAAGTTTTGCCAGCGTTTCTCCGTAGGGAGAAGCGAGCTCCTGCTCTGCGCTCATCTGTGCGCTCCAGCCAAAGCAGACACACAAAGAGGGGGTGCTCAAACACCTCCCTCCTCCCCAGGGCTGCTGCTCTCCCAGCTGAGTCCACCATGCTGCGAGGGACACCAGGGAGTTCTGGGGTCCCACTCAGCCCAGGGGGTATTGCAGCTCCACCAGGGGACCCCAGCTCACCTCGTTGGCGATGGTCTCATTGTTGATGAAGTTGGCGAAGGCGACGGTGGGCGTCCAGGGGTCGTTCTGGTTGTAGATGCTGGTGCTGGTGGGCTCCTCCTCCTTGCGCCGGGTGACGGCCAGCTGGTACCTGGGGACGAAAAAAGAGATGGGAGCAGCGCCCGGGGCAGGGCAAAGCCAAACCCGGCTCCCCAGAGTCTGCAGAGACCCCGACTGCTCCTACAGAGCAACCCCAGCCCAGGGAAGCGCCCACCCCGTGCTTCCCGTCAAGGAGCTCCCACGTGATGGGGCAGCCCTGGAAGCCACCACCCCAGCCAGGGCAGCCTGACCTTGCCCAGCTGATGGCCTTCTCCATGGAGCTGGCTTCAGGGACGTGCTCCCCTGCAAAGCTGGTGACCTGGATCCTGTACCCACGCTGGTGGCCCCACTTGTTTTTGCTGTTGGCCGCGAAGTAGACATATCTAGGCATCCTCGCCTGCAGCCGGAAGGCAGCCTGGTCCTCCGTGTCCAGGACCTGCTTGACGAGTCGTGGCCGCTCTATCTGCTGCTCCGGGCTCCAGGGGGCCCGCGCCATCTCAAACGCCATGTCATGGGCCACCAGAGAGTTCTTCACCCCTGCAAAGCAACAGCAAGGTCTCTGAGGAGCGTCCCCACAGATCACATTCCCCACAGGCACCGCTGCAGCTGGACCCCATCCTCCCTTCCCACACCCTGCGCTCTGAGCACTGGCTCCTGCCCACAGCTGTAATAAATGTTGCGAAAACAGGGAAAATAAATCCGGTC